TAGTCAGTTGCTTCATTTCTACAAAATAAAATAGAAAAGGAAAGAAAATATCCAAAAACATTGCATGTAATAAGGGGTTTTTATTTCATGAAACTTCTGTTTGAATTATTTGTATTGATGAGTGTCCAGGGCTGAGATGTCAGATTGCTTTCTCTCTGAGGGTTATGCTCAAATCAAGTTGAAAAAATAAAAAACAAAAAGATAGATGGTTGTGAGTCTGAAAGCCGTGCAAGGGAAAGGAGACCACGCCATGGGTCCAGTGCTTGTTTTGTTGGGTTGTGGAAATATTGTTTACACATGTGAATGAAGTCCAAAATTATGAATAATTTGATAATGAAAAAAGTCAGAGTTAAAATATATAGAAAACAGATATAAGCTCACCTTTGTAAATCATTAATATGGCAATGGGGAGGGTTGTTAAACACCAACCGTCAAGATCTACCACTGTTTAGACAAAGCCTTAAAATGACCACATGTACCCTCTTGCTTAGCCTAATCAGAATTCCCACAGCTTAGGCCCAACAGCCAGGCCTGAGTGCTCAAGCAACTGGTCATCAGAAAGCCCATTACTTTATCCCAGAGAGGATGCCAGTGACAGTAAACTGGGCATGAGAGTCCTGACAGCTAGAGCTGCTACCTGAAATAAACCTCAACAGATGTTTTATGAAAGCATAGAAGGCCTGCTTCTGCTATTGGTGGCCAGGCAAGCCACTTGGCTCAGAAGCCCAGTAAGGGTCTGAACATCCTTTGGAGTTATGAATGTCCCCACTCAAATCTTCAGAAAGGCCAGACATGCTTTTTGCTGCCTTCTCTTCTTCCCCCAGGCTGTGAGCTTCCCCTCACTTTGGGCTCTGAGTATGCCTGCAGGGGAGTGGGGACTGGAGTCTGTGGGAGGAGGCACGAAACACCTGATCATTACTGCTTATGCTCACTTTCTCTTCCCTCAGGAGTTCAACTTACTGTAAGGTCTAATTATAGAACAAGGGCAAAGGGCATACAAAATAAAGATATACCCATCTTCATCCCTAAAGTGTGGTGAGCATGCAAGCTCAGATATGAGAGGGAACAGAATACTTTCTTCTAAGGAATTTAAATTTTCTCCTAGAGGCAGTGGGGATCTATTGAAGGATTTTAAATAAGGAAATGACATAATACATAATAAGATCTCTATCTGGAAAGTTCACTTATCAATGGTACTCAGGGTGCAGATGCAGGTGGTCCCCTTTACAGTAAATATTGTTTCATAGCAAATAGTGGATGGGAAAAGTTCCATTGAATTCCTAAAATAAATTTTGACTTATTGAAAATGTGAATCTAACTGATGAACTCTCCTATTTAAAACTCTCTATAACTCCCTATCGCATAGAAGATGGTCTTCAGTTTGATCACACTCCTATTGTAAAGCAAAGTTTGAGAATTCCTCCACTCCACTACATGTCTATTTATTTAGTTGTCAATCATACGCACATAGAAAGTACTAGTGTATTCGTTACTTTATAAAAACAAACTTATTTTAAAAGCACAAAATAAAAATATAATCAGACATTCTATTTTCTTCTTAATCTCCAAAGGATAATTGCACACCCCTTTGGAGACCTGGGTCCTAAGAAGAGAGAAATAGCTCTTTGGCATGACATGTCAACCCCTTCATGAACTGACCCGTGATGGCATCTCCAGGTTGACCTGTCTCCATTGTTGATCGCCAGTGCCTCTAGGGCAGTTTCCTGCATTGGTCTAGCAGTTTTCCTCCTTTGGATTTTTGGTCATGATGACTTCTTTATGTGGACTATAATTCTTCCATTGTTCTTTCTCCTTCTATTTTATCTCAAAAGCATTTCTTCCCATGCAGTATGGACATTATGTATCTATGGGTCGCTTTTTCTCCCCTATACTGAGCTCCATGAGGACAGGGACTATTTCTGAGGCTTGGCTATGTTTCCAATGGAACTCACAGACACCTCTGGCACATTCCCAGCTGTAGCTTTAATCAGATGTAAATAGAAGATATATTTGAAGACATGAAAAGAAGCCAAGATCGCGTCACTGTACTCTAGCTTGGGCAACAGAGCAAGACTCTGTCTCAAAAAAAAAAAAAAAAGTTAGATATATCTCCTACAGTAGGATTGTGAAATACTCATACTCATCTTAAAGGACATATAGGCATGATTCCCCCCTTCCTCGCCTTTTTTTTTTTTTTTTCTTTACCATGGGAAACTCTTTGCTCAAGAAACATCTCATTGAGCTATCCAGGTTCCACAAAACTTTGAGAAACTCAGATTTAAAGCATTGAGGACCACTCTTAGAAGGTACAACTAGTTTGGTACTGACTGTCTTTCAAATCACTATCACCTATTCATAGTGTACCAATGTCATAACTTTAGCCATTGACTTTTTAAGAAACTCCAAGAGAGGATGACCTTCAGGAAAGAAAAATTTTGATACATAAATTCAGTATCTTTTTACTGAGTAGGTTTTCAATATTAATATTTGTTGATTAAAGTAAATTTCAAGGAATAACTAGGTCAGGAAGGGCAAGCTAGGGCAACAGAGTCATTTTAGGGACATGGAAGTTAAGGGGACAATGTAAGGGCATGACTAGGAGAAGATAAGAATGGGACACAAAGAAGGTAACAAAGCAGCTCCAAAGATTTAAAAACACATGCCAGACCATCATCAAGTCTGTTACGTAAGTATCAGGTTTGCAAAGCTGTCATGGTCCTAATACTAGTATCTAGACACTTTCTCTAAGAAACTCAAGGAGCTTTTTAGATTATCCCCTTGACTTAGATTTGTGATTTGCTTGTAGTTATTTCATGAGTAAGTAATGAATAAGTAAAGACAACAATTACCCATAAACGATCTTTATCCCCTTCTTGTTACTATTTGTATATGATTTATCTTACAAGATGTGTTAGGAGTTCTTAGTACAGGTCATGTCAAATACATTTGGATGTTCCTATTAGTGACTACCAGGGCTCCTCGTCAAGTAGGTGCTTTATAAATTCATTCATGAATACACAAATGAAATTTTATATAATAAAGAATTTGATTGGACTTTGTCCGTGATTTCTGGGAGAGAGATCAGGGGTGTCCAATCTTTTGCCTTTCCTGGGCCACATTGGAAGAAGAAGAATTGTCTTGGGCTGCAGATAAAATACACTAATGATAGCTGATGAGCTAAAAAACAATAGCAAAAAAATCTCATAATGTTTTAAGAAAGTTTACAAATTTGTGTTGGGCCACATTCCAAGCTATCCTGGGCTTCACGTGGCCTGAGGGCTGTGGACTGGACAAGCTTGCTCTACATCCTTAAAACTTTCCTAGTAAAAGGAGTATCTTTGTTATTCCCAATCCCCTTGGAGCACACCTGATAGTGTGCACTAATCCAGGGACTCATGAAGGGCCCCTAGATAGCCCCAGGATGAAGGGTGATCATGCTGGAAAGACTAACCATGTAACTAGAGGATCCGGCTTTGCATCACTTGATATAGGCTAGACCCCCCACCCTTTGGGGAGGGGAGGAAGCTAGAGATTGAGTTCAGTCATCTGGCCAGTCAATGATTCAATCAAGCATGCCTACATAATAGTACTTCAATAAAAACTGTGGACCCTGAGGTTCAGTGAGGTTTCCTGGTTGATGAAAACGTTGATGTGCTAGGAGGGTGACACATCCTAATTACACAGGCAGAAGGCCTGAAAATGCTGCATTCAAGACCCTTCCAGACCTTATTCTGTGTTGTGTCTCTTCATTTGGCTGGTCCCGATTGGTATTGATAATTAAACTGTAATTCTAAGTACAGTGGCTTCCTGAATTCTAAAAGTCGTTCCAGCCAATTATTGAATCTGAGGGAGTTGTAGGAACAACCGGCTACAATTGGAATTTGTAGCCAGTTGGTCAGAAGTGTTGGTAGCCTCGGGATCTCTGAAGTGTGGCTGGCATCTGAAGTGAGGGCAGTTCGTGGAGGACTGAACCCTTACCTTGTGGGGTCTGCAATAATTTCAGATGGTTAGAGCCATAATTGAATTGCAGTACACTAGTTGGTGTCAGAATATAAACCAATAAAAGAACGCTGATGTCCTGACCCCCAGAAGAGTGCTCTGGCTTCTAATATATTCTGTATTCCTCAAGAACAAGGATGCTGTCTTATTCCTGTTGCAATTGCCCCATCTTGGCATCTAGCACAGTGAATTACTTACTGTGGCTGTTTCACAGAGTTAGATTACATGTTAGTTACATGTGTGCCAATAGAGTTACATTTTATCAAAGGTGGGATCTCACAATCAAAGCCTAATAGAAACCCAAGTGAACACAAATAGTTAAGCAAAAATACAAAGCTGACGTTGTTAACAGATGCTACATACCTAGCTTTGAAAGTGATTGGAACATAGTTAGATCCCATTTTCTGTGTTTCAGTGCTTATTCCATGTACATTTTCATTTGACATCCTGTTGCCATGCGATATATGCTTCCAAATGATACAGAAAAAATATTAAATATGCTATGAGTAAGATTCAGGGTTGGAATTCAATTCCTGGCTTTCTGGTCTGAGAAATGGTCCTTCAAAAGTGTCAGGACTGGGGATATAAGCTGAGTCCTGCACTAGAGCCTTCAGCAGGCGGGAGTGTACTGAACTGAAGTGTATGTCACTTGGAAGTCAGGCCCAGGGGATAACTTCTAAGAAGCCACCCAGTCCAGCAACCTGCCTCAAGTACAAGATTCAAAGGGTGTCCTTTCCTTTTTTGGAGCCTTCTGAGAGACTCTACAAGTTGTCAAAATGCCCTTTGATTTTTTCCAGATGTAAACCATCCTTTAAAAACAAACAAACAAACCTCTCGTTTGGATCTTACTCATCGGTGGATTTTTCCTGTCCTTCCCTTTGTTCTCTTCTCTCTTCTTTACCTCTGTCTCTTCTTCCTCCTCCTCCTCCTCTTCCTTGTCCCTCTCTCTTTAGCTTCTTATCACATGTGCCTTTTCTTGCTTCAGTTGTGATTTTTCACTCTTGTCTTTTGCTTCTTATCTACACCTAGGACTGCTTCACTTGAGTGCTTTTCACATGCAGATTCCTTTTGCAACAACAGGAAACCCTGTCTCCGTATTCTAGAACAATTGTTACGACCCTTGCTATAATATCTGTTTTAATATTGTGACTTAACAGACATGCAGGAATATTATTCAAGTTTGAAATTGGCCTTTGTTGCAATGGACAATTGGCAAAGGACCAGAACCTTACTTTCTCTCGTGGTCTCCTTAACTGCATGGAGAGCCTCAACCTGTGTCCAAAAGAATTGCTTTGCTAGATAAATTCTCCACTTTAAATTTACATATGGTCTGACAAAACAGTAAAAAAAAAAAAAAAAAAAAAATACTTAGTCACCACACCTAAAAGCCAATTACAACTTAATAAACCATTCACAGACAAAACAGTATATTTTTAAAATCATAAATTCTGTCTCTGTATCATATGAGAGGGAGTTTCACTGGGCACATGGCATTTACAAATTCTGATTGGCATTTCCTTTACTGTTGAAAAGCGAACCTAGTTCAGTTTGCAGCAAATATGACAATAGGCTGTGCAAACGTATACCTAAAATGCAGCTCTGTGGGGGTTAAACATTCAAGCTTATATGAGACAGCATCAGTTTCAGGTCAAAGTGCTGTTCTTAAATGATCAGTATAGAACAGAAAAAAGGCATTGAAGTGACCTTGCTGAGGGTCTAAAACTGCACTGAAGCCTTTTCTGCATGATTAAGTGAGCAGAATCTTAGATTAGCTAAAAGCAGTGCAGAAACATAATGAGTTCACTTATTTTGGAGCATTTAATAACAGTTATAGACAGTTATGTGATCAGGCGGAGTTATGACTTATTCATTCTTTCATTGCTATTAAAATTACTGCATTTGAGGTTTTTAAAGTCATTGAAATAAAAAAAGTCTGATTTATGTTAGGAGAATTTAGCTTGCCCTTTGGTCTCTCAGTTTTTAAATGATATAATTAGACTTTTTAAAGACCATTCTAAAAGCATTATTAGCATTTTGTATAGCGGAAAGTAAATGCATGTTTTGTGGATAGTTTAATTTTAAAAGGGATAATAGTACTTGATTCAGACAGTGATATTCATAGATTATTAAGGAAAGATTTTTTTGTATAAAATTTCTCAAAAGGCAATTGTATAATTTTAGTAATCGACTATACAGAATACGTGTGGATTTTGCTATGTGTACACACAGATACTCTCTTTCTAATGCACTCTCTAATTTCATTTTGAATGGACATTACAAAGACATGGAAATAATACAACACAGCTTTCCTCCCATTTGGGAAAGCAAGGATGGGAAGAGAAAGTACCAGAGGATGTATTAACTCATGACCTTTAGCATATTTCCTCCAAAATTACAGAGCCACCTATCAGCCTGGGGGGAAAAAGCTCGCTTTAATCATAACAAAGAGATTTGCAGGTGGTTTGAATTAGCAGTAAACAACAATCATTAATAAATAATTTTAGAGGAACATGGAAATTTCATAGATGCATCAACATTCTAAAACTTTTCTTACACATTTCATTGTATGCAAATACCATCTCCTGTCCAAATTGTTCCAAAATTAGACATTGCTTCTGTTTTAAAGTGGGTTATTGCACAATGCATAAAATGCACAGACAAAACATATTTCATCATAAAACAGTGAAATAAAGTGCTGATTTTAGTTGGACATTACAGTAGGATTATTATATGTACACATCTTTGCCCATAAAATCGAGCTGACTGCAATCTCCTTAAATAATAGCTATTTGTGCCATGTGTGTGTTCTGCAAACACTTTGTATATCTCTTTTGGAGACTCAAAATGCAGTGCACTACATTATTGAAGGATGCTGATAACACATTACTAAGGAGTAAACACAAAGAAGCTTTTTAAATAGCCAGCAATGGAGGATTACCCATGCGACCAAACGATGGCCCAAACTTGTATTTGTTAAAACTTGCTACACACTCTTTTAGGTATATACACATTTATATATGAGTGTATATATGGGTGTAGGTATATACATGTTTATATATGAGTTTATATATGTGTGCATTTTTGCCTCCCCATTTTGTTTGGAAGTTTTTATTTTTATTTTCATTACTGAAGTTTGCCCTCTACCTGAGTAACCACTCTCTGGTAAGTGAGTCCTTAGCTAGTCTGGAATAGCCAAGCGATCAATTCTGTTTGTCCTAGTTTGTTAATTGACAGGAAAAGGTGTCACTCTGTTTATAGGAGGGGAAGGTCAGGTTCTTTGGGTGACAGCTGAGGGTCAGAACCGGGAAGTAGCAGCCTCCAGTGACTTCACAGCACTGGTGCTATTTGAGGAAGCTGCTCTGAAAACACTCACAGTTTCCTGACAGTCATGTGAACTCCTACCTGGACCATTTCCTAAGGGACAAGATGGACTGGAAACAAGAAACACATCAGGCCCTCAGACAGGAATGGTGGTGGGTAGGGGGAGGGTTATTGCAGTGGTCTCAAACTCATGCAATGCAGATTTTTGTCCACTAGAGACTGATAGCCGCCCAGCAAAGATGTTGCTTAAGGCCTCACAGTTTAGATTTGAACTATGGTCTCAGAGGTGAGAGGCTAGCGTTTCATCCACTAAGCTATTTAGCCTTTTCCTTTGAAGGAAGATTGATTTTAAAAAAGCTATTAACCTTCAGTGATTTATCTCATCAGATCATCTTCATTTTCTTCTGCTTATAATAAGACTATATTATATAGTTTTATTCTTTGGTTAATTCGACAGGACTAACTGAAAGGAAAATACATGAGAAACATAAAGAAGGGTGAAATAATAGAATATTATCAGCAACACTGAAATGAAAATGTTAACAGGAAAAACAAAAGAAACTGAGCAAATAGTATCACAGATCTCAGAGGTACAATCACATAAGACATCATGGTTCTTTGTAAACTCAATCTGACTGAAAAACTTTCCACATATCACATTGATTCTAGGGCCATAGACCATGCTAATGATATAGGTATTACCTTCTCTTTTCTAGTGAAGAGACAAACGGGACAGGTTTTATTTTTTGCAGTAACTAAAATATAAGCTAAGGAACCAGTGATAATTAATTCACATTGAGTATATATTCAGAGGTGCACAAGAAACAGAAATTTTCAAAGAAATTGCATTAAAGCACATTCTGTTCAGAGCCTGAAATTAGACATTTTATCTATTTTTAGTGAAAAATGTGAAAAATGTGTTAAGAAGTAACCTGTTCTGCTGCCTTATCCCGAGTCCCTTTTAAGTGAACTAGAAACTGGTCGCTTTCCCTACTGAATCATGTTTGATTTATTGCATTCTATTGATTGAGTTTCTACTTCGGAAAAAGTGTTACATTTTGTGAATAATGTGTTAACATTAATGACTTTAATTCATTCTCCATAACTTTATGACAGACACTAATTTACATTTCTTTTGGAGTACCTGATAGCAAAAGAAGTTTGGGCATTTTAATTTTTTTTCGAGTATGTTATCAGGCTGAACAGGAGTAGTGAATGTAAGAACACAGCATTAGGGAAAGCGTCTGCTTTTAGGAGTGTGGGCCCCCTTTCGCCCGGCTCCACTCTGTCCCACCCACAGGAGACACTCAGGTATGCACATTGAAAGTTAAACTGAAGGCTTACAATAACATTTCAATATTTGCTCAGACTAAGCAACAATACACATCAGTGTCTGCCATTTTCAGGGCTTATTTAACACTCATGGTTGAAATTCCTTTTGTTTCAGGTACTGTTAGTTTATTTAAGTTGGTGTTTGGGCAGGTGAGGCTAGCTCAACAATGGCAAGTTCTGACAACTTATTTCTACAGAAATCGAAGAAGCTGAGCTTGTCAAGCTCTTGTTCTGCATTTCCTGGACTGGTCAGTGAGTACACCAAGTAAGAGGATTTGAAGCCAGGGAAATAAAAGACCAGGAAAGTATTTGTGGTAATGAAGTCACCTTTGTCTATGTTTTTTGAGCAAAGTAAAGTGATGATAAAGTAACTCTTTGGCAACTGGTTATACATCCCCTTCCTCTGTATTTCTCAGTATACCATGACTAGGGCTAATAACATCTTTTCTCTAACATTTAAGCACAGCTGTAATTTCCTCACCCTGCTGTAGTGAAATACAAAAGACACCTCAATCTTTCATATTGGCAGTAATCTTGGAATTGATATTTACAAAATGAATTTCGATAGGGATTTTAAAAAGCAGAGTTAGTGTTCACAGTGCATGAAACAATAAAGAGACAAGGAGATAAAAGTAGTGGTGCACGAAAGTGTGGTTCAACTTTGAGGAAGGAAAAAGGTTTGAGGAAAAGAGACTTTGAGAAAGAGGGAGATGAAGGGATTGACTGTTGCCCTTACTTCCTGCTTCTCTTTGGTTCAACTCAAGTGCTAGGAAGGGATTCTGGGTTGCATGGATCTATTGTCTTTCTGCCTCTTATCTTGATTCCTTAGTGGGCAGAATTCTGTTGGTTCTTCTCCTTCCTATCCTAACTCTAAGCCTACTGAAATAGTCACATCTATTGAACTTCCTGAGTGTGATTCTTTTCATGATGACATGGCAACTACAGTACTCTTGTGGTTCTTGGTTATTTCCTTTACCTTATGTATCAGGAAAAAGGAGTAAACGTGATGAGCCGAAATAAGGGATGATAAATTGTCCTAGATCTGAGAACTCTGATAAACTCTTGAAATATGTTTTGCATAATAAGCTCTTTGAATTTGGTGGCTTATGATAAAATATCATATTTTAAAAATCTATAAATTCTATTTTTCTACGAAATTCACATTTTCTTATAGTTTTCAAATTGTTGCTTAATATAGAAAAATATTGTCTTAATAATAGCAATTAAATGAATTAACTGGGTGTTACTGACACATCTTAACATCTCCCATTCCAGATGTAAAATAATATGAGAGTCAAAATATTAAAATACAGTAGAAGATAGTGAAGAATAAAACCAAAACGATGTGCGGATTTCTCTTTTCAGTGTATTAAACAAAGTCACATTACTTTTCCCTCTCTATTAAAATATTGTCGTAGATATTTTTAAAAGTGGTAAGCCTCAGTTCTTAAGAGATGCTACTCATTTTAAACTCTGAGAACAAGAAGTAATAAATATAGAAAAGTAAGATCTAAGAGTCCCAGTGTCCCAAATCAAACATGCTCCGGAAATCTCCCACAGTCATCTATTTGGTGAAATGGTAAGGGATTTTGATGGGCAAGATTCTAATGATCTAAGTCTTTTGTGTTGTCCTATGTTCTCCTTGCACCAGCCCATACATAAAAGGGGATTTCAGTTCCTGTTGGAGTTCTGAATTCTTGGCCTTCGATCTGATCCTTTGCCCTATTATTCCTCCTTTCACACTGCCACACCATTTCCATTTCCCCAGCTTCTGACAACATTGCTTGTTTTCTGCTTTGGATTTCTTTCCAGCTGTTCATGACTATGATCATGCTTCTTCATAGGTGATTATTCAGGTCTTCCTGCCACCCTCCATTGTTCTTTCAATGTGCCTCAGTTCACTGGGTTATCTGTGATGCCTCCTGACTTTACACACTTCCAGACGAATTCAAGTAAATGTTGTCCATTACTCTGTAGGTCGTGTTCTTGCATAATTTGACCCAATCCTGAGAAGGAAATCACAATAACAAATTCCTGTGACTGTAAAATCAGTGGTTTGAAAGGGACTGACTCCACCAAATGGAAGATGCTGAAAATATCTGTGAGCTGAATGTCAATAATTTCTTAGTTAAGCTGTTAGATTAGATGCTAAGAGATGCTTACCTAAGATTGTAAGAAGATTGTTTTTGGAATCTCTGGCCACATCCAGCCTCTTCCCCCCATATTTTGGTGTTAGGCACGTCCTAGAGAGCTTCTGTTTAGCTACGATGAAATGTCATTGACGTGGTCCTGGCAGAGTCGTGATCCCACTGGTTAAACCTACTACATATGCTAAACAGCATTGAACCAAACTCATTTGAGTAACAAATGAAAGAGATAATCTGTTTCTAGTCAATTTTTGTTTCTCTTCTGAAAACTCGCATATGATTTTGAGAAACTACTCATGCAAAATGATTAATTTGGGACCACAGAGAATGGAAAGTAATGTGGTCTTATTTAATTGGTCTTTTAAAGGAGAAGAATAAAGGTATCATGCTTACCATGAACTAAAAAAAGTATCAGTGACTCCCCCAAACCCATTTGCCTTGTTACATGTCTTTTTCTGTTATTGACAGTTAGTATTGACTCATTTTTAATCAAGTGACGCTTTGCACTCTTGCCACTTCTTGATTAATTGGCAGTAATTGATATGTTCTCAAGGTTGAGTCACAATTTTTGAACTTGGTTTTCAGCCGGAGTTCTGAAGGATAACACTCCTAAAGTCTGACTCAATCAGTGAGTTAGTCAGGCAGATAGTTACTTAGAAAGTGTATACTGAATGTCTACTATGTTCTAAGAAGTGTTCAGTCTAGGTGATACCCATTATTGAAGTTACAAAGTCATCAGATCAATATGTATATTATTTTGTCTAGATATACTTGAACACAATTCCTGTGCCATTCCCCTCTGCCCTCTGCCAAATCTAAGTTTCTTCTAGCCTCTTGCAAAAAAGTCAGAACTAATATTTTCTTTATAACTCCCTTGTGCTTTTCAGATCTTATTTGGAGTTATAGCAGTTCGGAAGCCAGGCAGGGTTTTTCTAGAGTAAATGTAATTTCCTCACAAGGCAGCAAGGTAGTTGCTACAGTTTTAATAAGTTTTAATCTTTAATTTCTCAGTGAGTCTAGTTAACTCTGCATGGGTTATTAACAGCATGAATCAAATACATACAATGTGACCAAGAACAAAACTGCCCCAGGTGGACAAGGTACCATCTTTCTAACTTTTCCTAGTGACAGTTCCGTTTCCATTCAACTTCAGGGCTCTTATGCCAGTGAGGTGACTCAAACCAACCCAATTTACAGATTGGGCCCTACCTGGCCTGTGATAGTTGAGTTTAGCCCAAACTCTAAATTATCCTCCTATGATATAGTCCTCAATTTCCAGCATCCTAAAGGATGGTTCTCAGCGCTCACATTCATAATGCAAACGGGCCATGCTTGAAATGAAAGGTTATTGATGGAAATTAAGAATTGCTTATGACAGCACAAAAAGCCATGTTAAAAGACAAGTGCAAATAAATGATGATATAAGAGCCTGGTGAGTTTGACTGTTTACCAGAAACAGCTCTGCAAATATTGCTGGTGGAACCTTATTTTTCACCTGTCCTTTCCCTGTTCCTCTTCTAGGGGCATAGAAAGTAAGCATTAGGTTAAGAGAAGTAATAAAAAGAGAAAACAAAACTGTAAACTCAATTAAATGAAGACTTGTCTTCAACTGTAAGTGGCAGATGTATTTATCCGGGGTGATTTTGTCCCAGTTACAAAGGTATCTGTGCAATATTATGCCTGGGCTTTCAGCCATCTCTCAGGTCGAGTGAATTTGTGAGTGTTAAACACACAAGGAGATATTCAGTTTTCAGTGTAGTTTCTAATCAAATATTTAAACTTTGTGTGTAAAAATAACGCAATCAGAGTCATTTTTTTCTCTTCAATAAAACAAAATAGAAGAATTGAACCACGTGGAAATAATAGTTGGTTTACCATGTTCAGAGGATTAAGCATCATTGCTTTTAATGAAATTCTAGTTTCTTTAAAAAGGTAGAAATTAATGTCTTAGAATATCATATAATAAATTCCTTTTAACTGATTCATCTCCAGTTAGAAGTGTCAGATTTGAGTGCTTTTTCTTCCTGCTTTCCTATTTCCCATTCTCTGGGTCACTTTAGTTCCCCCTTACAATGTTTTTTAACTTCTGTCTGTTTAGTTCAGCATGCATCCTCTAAGTGACCCTCCTGCCTTCCTGTACTCACCTGTCACAGAAACTTGCTCACCCTTTGCACACTGCTGTACGTGCCTCCCCCCAACAGCTGCTGTGTGTCTTCTTTGGCCTACCGTTTTGTAGGGCTCTAGGATTTATCCCAGCTTCTCTCAACCTGTGTCCCACTTTTTCCATAAGCTGTGGCTTCTTTGTGCACTTCCATCCTCACCATGATTCAACTTTCTCCCCAGGCCTGTGGCTGCACTGCCCTTCCTTCCCTCACTGACTGCTTTTCTTCCTAGCTTCTCACTGCCCCACCCACTGCCTCTACCCAGCCACTTTGGCCTAATTGTTCAATCCAAACACACATACACAGCTTTTGACAATTTTTTGGATAGCGATGGGGTTTCACTACATTGCCCAGGATGGTCTCGAACTCCTGGGTTCAAGTGATTCTCCTGCCTTGGCCTCCCAATGGACATGTCTGACTACCTAGCCTTCTCATTCCATTTTATTTTTGGCCTTTTGACTTCACAATACTTTTTCTTCATTCTTTCCCTACTTCTGAACTGCTGACAGTGATGTGCTAGTGAATATCTAATAACCATTTTTCTGGAGGGGAAAAAGAAACCTCTGACATATAATGTTTTCTGATTTCGTTGGTGTAAATACTCTCACCATGGTCCATTTCCAGCTACCAGTGTGACATCACTGAATGAACAGTTGTTTTTATCTGGTGCCAGTTGACTCCGACACATCACTGAGTCTTGGTTTTCTTGATAGCTTAACCTTTGAAAGAGAAGTTCTCTGAAAAAGGGGTTTGCAAATTGGAGTGGATGTGTCCCATGGAGTTCTACAAGGTAATCTATTGACACATGAGAAGAACATTTTAGAAATTCTATTTACATTTAATTTCTAGCTGATCTTTATCAAATTTTTAGTTTTATGGGTTTTATTATAAATATATTACATTAGTACAGCCTATGTATATTATATGCATGTGATGTGTGTATGTATAAATAACTTACATTAATTGGAGTCTTACTAGATACTAGGCTTATGTTAGGTTATTTAATCCTTACTACATCCTGTAAGGTAAGTACTGGAGTCCAGAGAAGTTATGTAGCTTGCTGAAGATCAAGTGTAATATAAAAGTACATAAATAAAATATACTGATGGTGCATCCTCAAATTTTTTTTAAACTGAGGAGTTAAGTGATCAAAATATTTTGGAGGTTGTGATCTGCAGCTTGGCTTGCTTCTCACTGTATTTACTCCTACCAGATTATCTTAAATGCACTATGGTTTTAACAACCATTCATAAGCATTTGATTCCTTTTTTTTTTCCACCTCCAGCCCTGGAGAGCTTCAGACCTGAATTTCCAGAGCCTTCTGGTTGCTTCCACTTTAATATGTTGAAGACATAATGAGAAGACTTTGAGGCTCATGTATTGAATTTTTGCTAGTATAATTGATTCTAATTATAAAGAAAGTTAAATTTTCAGAAAAAAATGTAAAAACATAACATTAAAAGATATCACTTGTTGTAATACATATTTATGAAAAACTGTTTTGCAGGGCTCTAAAGTTAAATACATTCTGGATTTCAGTTTCCTCATCTATAAAGCAAAATAGTTGGATTTAATGGTGGGTTCCTTGAAACTCTTTTTGTCTTTGATTCCTTGTAATGCCACACTCTGCTGGTGATTTTAGTGTAAAATGATGCTTCCAGCTAAATTACCAATCAATAGCAATTCACTGGTTGTGGACTCCTGTGCTTAATAAATGAAATTCTAATTTTTCTTAACATTAAATTAACTTCTTTAAAAACAGATATATGTGACTGTTTTAGACATGACCTCTGACTTCTGACTTGGAAGTGACTCTTAATTTCAGCATAATAGGTCTCAGATGAAAGATTCTTTAAATATCTCAGCAATATCCAGATTGACAAGTCTCTGAGACAATTTATGGTAAGATATTTAGGAAAAAATGCAAAATGTCCTTTGCACTTACTATAGGAATGAAGGAAATCTGGGTCTGTAAAACATTAGGTGATTGCTAAGCTTTTGACACTTACCCGGAAACCTTGATGTATTATTGTCTTTAAAAGACAAAAAATATCAAAATGTAAAGGAGTAAGAAGAACATCATATTGAAGATTTTTTTCATGATCTATTTTCAAAGTTCCAACTAGTTTTAATGTACTACAGTTTTCCTTGTGATAGGCTCTTTTTCTTCTTTTATATGTTCAATATTCCTATTTTCAAAAAGAATTGAGGATTCTTACTTAAAGCAAGAATATTTATGACTCTAGAAAAGATAAAATAAACAGAGAGAAAGGTGAAGATTTCATTTTTTCACCGGTACTGATTTATAAGATGTTGAAAAAATAAGTTGCCTAATTCATTTTTATTAATTTGGCAATATGCAAAATCGTAAAAGTGGAGAATTTGCATCTAGATAACATTTAAAACTTGCAAAGTTGTAAGTTATTCACTTAGTGAATTGGATTTTTTTCATTAAATGTATCTGAACTTTATGAGGCAGCTGTATAAATTAATCTCTCATTACCTATAGAGGAAGCCTGTTATTTTTCCAACGTTATTTTTTAGTCAACAGTTTACGCAAATCCAGTTGGCTGTGAAATTGAAAGACTCCTTTTAGATTTTTGTATGTGTACTGATATGCACAGAAGGTGGAGAAAATGTTTGCTCTCAAAAATGATATACTCATGATAAGATGCCTAAATATACTGGGCCATTTCTGAACGTATGTTTGCAATTACCACCACTTACTGTCCACCTCCTACAGAAATTCTTACTCATTCCACATTCATAGTTTATCTATTTATAAAAGAGGGATGGTGGGAGCTGGGAAGAAGAGTTATGAAGGGAAATTAAACCACACCTAAGGAAGATCTTAAAATTCCATTGACTTTGTTTGGCACTAGAGCTGTGTGAAAGTATTTTTAATCCACAGAGATTTATGCAAATCATTTTAAAGTCCTAGTCATGTGATGTCATATCCCTTAGGTGTTATCAGAAATTTTAATTTATATCAGCTGAAATTCCCAGAGCTAAATATGAAAATGTCTGAAAGGTACTAGGAAGATTTTGTGTTTAGGTGGTATATGTCATAAAGGCAGGGAAGTGAATTTGATAACTGTCTTTTGTTTGTTTTAAAATTATAAGAATAGTACTTTATTTTTTCTAAAAAAAATCAAACAATATAGAATTATATTAAGTAAAAGCCCAGTTTCACACATCCACCACTAGAGTTAACCAGTACTAACACTTTTCCCTTTTTAAACAAAAATTAATCTATAGTTATCGTTGCATGACTTTCTTTTATTTTCTTAAGCATTGGCCTCTTTCCAGATCTGTACATCTAATTCATACCAAATATATATTTATCCATTTCTGTATAGTAGGACTTTTAAATTATTTCTAATTTGACACCATTACCAACTATAATAAATATTCTCATTCTTACATCTTAATTCTTTTATGCTGGTATTTCTGAAGGCTTGGGTATAAAAATAGGGTTGTTGAGTGTATTTAACATTTGTATTGGTGCTGTCATAGAAGGACTTTACATAACCTTCTGATTCGAAGATCTTGCACTTCTACACATATCTAAAAAACCTGGATTGGAGACCAAATGGAGCTAAACTAGGCTTGGTCTTCAAAACAAAGGATGTTCATGTTTTTGCTCATTGGGTTTCACTGCCTAACAATCAAGAGCCAACTTTGTGAACGAAGGCAACACATATCTGTTGAAATGAAAATCACTGAATCGCTTATGCGAGTTTAATTTGGCTTTCTGAATATTTTTTAACATCATTCAAAAGGAAACTATAAATAATCTTCCTTGAGTATAATCTTTCTCTTAAGGAAAATAATACACACCTCACAGATTGAGTATGTTATTGCCTGCTGCTATTCCTGATTTATATCACTGCTGTTTTGCATTTTTATACTCTGTAGAATACTTTGTGAGTTAATAAATTTGCATTGGCACATCTATAGGTTTATCCCAAGTAATGGAGACACAGCCCCAGGGCAACTGGGCCAAAATAATCCATGTGGAAATTAGTGTAAGGTTTGGGATGAATCAATAGCACTGAGAACAAATCTATTCTCTTCTAATTCTTACTATTTTCTGAGCTGATTCTGTTGTCCCAGATCAATTCAGGAACACAAAAATAGTTTTTGGCTTTTCCTTCCTATGTTTTAGGCCAAAAGGATTACTTACCTGACTACTTCATCTGGTGGTTTAATATATTGAGATTGAGGACTCAAAGGGACAAGAGAATGCCAACGACAACTATGATTTTTGTCATTGTGGTTCTGAGAATTAGCAAGTTCCATAGGCCAATGGATCAGGGCTCTCGGGTAGAAGCAAGTGTTGGTGACTTTTCATGCCCTTCTTCAGGGAAGTTGTTCCATCGCACTGATGACTTTATCCTTCCAGACTCCCAAGGATGCAAGCAACAGACACTCTTATGGCCTAGGCACACAAAGGAAAATGCTTGGATGAACACCTATTGTCCATGTCACTTAGTAGTTAATTTTTATACCTTTTCAAAGAGCTCATTTTTATCACATGTAAAACTAATACTTTGAGTTTTTGTAGGGGACAGTAATGAACAAATTGTTTCTAGCACTGTCTTATCATGTCATATGATGACCTCAAATTAAGCACTGGTTTGGCCCTAGGCTGTGCAATCAAGACTCCCAATTTCACTGCTGTGTTCAAACTTAGAAAACGCATCAAGTGATCTAGAGTGGTTCTTTGTTTATATAACAAAATTATTGTTTTTAAAATCTGGTTCTGCCTTCTACTTTCAGAGGGAATTGGAGCACTCTGTTAATAGTAATCACTTTATTCCTACCACACCCCCAAGCTGAAGGAGCGACGTCCCTTGTCTGAACTCTCGGGGTAGTTTCAAGCTGCTCTTTCTGCTTTTGTCTAGTTTCCATGGTTACTGAATGCTCTTTATACCAAACTAGTTGGTCATGTTACTCCTTTGCTTATTGGCTCCCTTTTAACTATAGGATAAAGTTCAAACTATCATTGTACCAGGCAAGGCCTGCCATGATCTCAACTCTCTCCAAGCCTTTTCTTTCCAAAAAAACCCTTTTCCCCTGTAAGTTCCAGTCACAAGAGATCGCAGTTCCCAGAACCCTCCAAGGCTGCAACCTCTGCCACACAGCTTTTCCAAAATACTTTTCATCTGAATTGCCTTTCTTCACCCTGACACTCCTCTGGGGAATTGGCCGCTCAGTTTTTTTGTGCCCATTTATGTCTATGAGTATTTTAATTATAGCAACTGTAATTTCTTGTTAGGTATATTTGTTTCAAGGTCTGTTTTACATTTCTGTGCTGTAAGTGCTTCATTGACAGAAGTAAGGGTCTTCATTTTTATATCACCATGTCTAGCATAGAATAGGCAATGACTTGTAGGCTTAATAGCTCATGAATAAATTTTAATATCTCCATTGTAACCAAAGGAAAGTCACGCCTACTTTATCAGAGTCATAAATAGGATGCTGTATGTATGTGCTTGTTTGTATTCCAAAACAGATGGAAGGAATTCTTTAAAATTATGCACATTAACCAGGATGATAAATAAATACCAGTGGATATTAAGATTAAATTAAGAGTAATTATAGAGCCATGATTAAAACTGAGTACACTTTGGCTTTAGCCATAAGCAAATGCAGGCTTAAATTATACTGTTAGGAAGAGCCAGAAGTAGACTAGACTAGAGACTTTAAAGAGCAATCTGGCACTTACTAAAGGAGTCATGGCATTGTGAAGAAGATAGGCATAGAAATTAGGGAGAATATTTTGAAGGGAAATGTCCATCAGTGAAATAAAGTATAAGAGCATGAAATTACATTCATAAGGTTAAATTTATCTAAGTTTCATAATCCATGCAGCTGAGAATAATGACATCTCACTGTTATTGCCAAAGGTCTGAGAATACACATGTATTACCATTGGATATTAAATTAAAATTCTTACTTTATAGAGGTTTCCAGAGATTTTTGGCTTAAAATTTTGAAACCTCTTTTTTGGAGGCCTGCCATCAAGTATAGTGTGAAAGACAAACAAGATATGTATTAATTCAAGGAAATAAGTTATTTTCTGTCAATAAAGGAAAAACAATAGGTGTTTGATGTGCTTTTCTTCAGAACACTATTTTAGCTAATTATCCATGCTGTTTAAATGTTGTATTTGTAAGACATTTAGGACCTCACAGTTTGGAAATGTCAGAGGGACTGAGAGATAAAGAAACTGTGGAATTTTAATGGACCTGAAAGAGTGAAAGCCAAGGTATTATTTTAAATCACAGAAATTATTGTATTTTACACACAAAAAAACCATTGGTAAGGAGAACTCTAATTGATAGAGTTTTTCCTGCTACCAAATTTAAATAATTATCCTTCAATCACTGGGAGAAGATTGAGTATCTGGGCTTAATGTAGAAAAACCTTAGAAGAAAAACTGAAATTTAAATTCTAGGTGTAACCTTAAACACTTTCTAAACACTTAGTTAAGTTACAGTAAGTACAAGAACAAGAGTAGTTAAAATTTATCATGATCAGAGATTATCTGATTTGCATAAACTCTTACTAAAATACTGTTAATGCGAATGACTCCCAGGTAGAAGAAAGATACATATATCATGGGGTATGATAGCTGCTTTCAGAAGCAATAATCAATTACAGTTATTTAGTTCTTAAAGTTTTGAAAGGAGGCACAAAACTAAGTGACACTCATGAAAAGCTCTAATTATATTTAAGGAAAATATTTAGTAGCTTAAGAATCCACGTTACCTTGGATATATTACTAGACTGTTTTTTTGTTGTTGGGAGTTAAGGCTAATCTTCGAATACATATTCTGAATTTCAGCTAAAATAAATGGAGATCCTTGATGATATCTGTCCATCAGGCAATCATTGGAATTTCCATCTTTCAAGAAAATGTGTTTTCTCCATTTCAAGTTAATAGAACTTTTATATTGACTCAGCTGTGGGAAAGGAAAATGGGAAACATATGACCAATTTATTTCAACATTGTGAGTAAAAGAGGTTTTTTAATTCAGAGTTTCAAGGAAACTCCACCCACAAAATTCTTCAGTAGGGTATAGAGCTGAGATTTCCTACAATAAACTCTAACAAGACTGTCAGTTGCCAGGTGTAGGTAATAGCCTGTGTCTTTTCTCCCAATATTTGTCATCTCTCTTTATACATATTAGAGATGAGGAGAGATGAACTGGGTGGAGACAGTGGCCTGGAGATGAGAAGAAGCTAAACTTCCACTGATTCCTTTGGATTGAGCCCAATCCAAATTCCTTTAGATTTCATTTGAGCCCAATGAAAAGTGTTAAATGTCGTAGCTGAAATTCCCATTTAGTAGAGATTTTATAAGATTGGCCTCAGGGCAACTTTAGGAACCCAGGCAACCAACTTTGAAATGACATTGTAGAAAAGACCCTTACCTTTGTGTATGCATGGTGCCCATCAGCTCCTGGAAGATGACATCCTTTTAGGTGAACGCAGAAACTGCATATAAGCCATGGTCATGGCTTTCTTATGCCAATGAGCATTGGGTATTGAAGCTTCTCTGGAAGTCTTGACAGCACATGTGGACCAGTGAGTAAAGCAACCTCTGAGAGATTGGACAAGTACAGCAGGACGAGTAGGGTGCACAAAGAACCTTGGGAGGCAGTACCCTGGTTACTTCTAGAATCACTGTGTGAGATCATTGTGGAGGCGGTATAGTGGAGGAGGAGTCAAGCCTTTTTATGATATGAGCAGATGCATTTAACTCAATCACACCTTTGAGCTACAAAGGCATAAGGAATGTTCTTTCTTCCCATTTAAAAAATGATTTAATGTTTGCTACATGCAAAAGTGAGTGTGTGTACACAGTCATTTTTTATTATCACACATTCTGTGTTTGCAAATTTGCCTACTCACTAACATTTATTGGAACCTCAAAATCAATGTTTGTGGTGCTTTCTTGGCATTTGCAGGCATATAAAGAGTGGTAATTTGAGTCACCTGATGTGTACATTCCTAGCTGAGATTGAATATGGTGATACTCTGCTTTCCTGTCTCAGCATTCATAATGTAAATGTGTTCTTTCTGAGGTCTATTTAGTGCCATCTTTTTTGCATTTTTGTGCTTTTTGTTGGTGATTTCCCTGTTTAAAATGGTCCCTAAGCATAGTGGTGGAGTGCTGTCTAGTACTCCTAAGCACAAGAAGGCTGTTATATGCCTTACAGAGAAAATACACATTTTGGGTAACGTCTGTGCAGGCATGAATTATAGTGCTATTGGCTATGAGTTCAGTGCTAATGAATTAACAGTGTGTCCAGGAGGAGGAAGTTGCAATGAGCCGAGATCATGCTACTGCACCCCAGTCTGGGGGACATAGTGAGACTACGTCTCAAAAAAAAATAAATAAAATAAAAAATAAAACAAAATGGCGTCTTTACACATAAACGCACATAAAATGAGGCTATGTATTGAATTTTTGATAAAAATGTGACTAGAAGCTTGCAGTAACTTAACTATCCCTTAGGAGCAATGGTTCAGTATTGCTAATTCATTGTTAGCTATGGCTTTATAGAACACAACTACTTTATGAATCTGGGTGCTCCTGTATTGGGTGCATATATATTTAGCATAGTTAGCTCTTCTTGATGAGTTGATCCCTTTACCATTATGTGACGTCCTTCTTTGTCTCTTTTGATCCTTATTGGTTTAAAGTCAGTTTTATCAGGGATTAGGATTGCAACTCTTGCTTTTTTTTTTTTTTTTTTTTTGCTTTCCATTTACTTGGTAAATATTCCTCTATCCCTTTATTTTGAGCCTATCTGTATCTTTGCACATGAGATGGGTCTCCTGAATACAGCACACCTAGGGATCTTCACTGTTTATCCGTTTTGCCAGTCTGTGTCTCTTAATTGGGGCATTTAGCCCATTTACATTTAAGGTTAATATTGTTATGTGTGAATTTGATCCTGTCATTATGATGCTAGCTGGTTAATTTGCCCATTAGTTGATGCAGTTTCTTCATAGGGTCGATGGTTTTTACAATTTGGCATGTTTTTGCAGTGGCTGGTACTGATTGTTCCTTTCCATGTTTAGTGGTTCCTTCAGGAGTTCTTGTAAGGCAGGCCTGGCAGTGACCAAATCTCTCAGCATTTGCTTGTCTGTGAAGGATTTTATTTCTCCTTCGCTTATAAAGCTTAGTTTGGCTGGATATGAAATTCTGGATTGAAAATTCTTTTCTTTAAGAATGTTGAATATTGGCCCCAACTGTCTTCTGGTTTGTAGGGTTTCCACAGAGAGATCTGCTGTTAGTCTGATGGGCTTCCATTTGTGGGTAACCTGACCTTTCTCTCTGGCTGCCCTTAACATTTTTTCCTTCATTTCATCCTTCGTGAATCTGATGATTATGTGTCTTGGAGTTGTTCTTCTCAAGGAGTATTTTTTGGTGTTCTCCATATTTCCTGAATTTGAATGCAACCTGTCTTGCTAGGTTGGGGGAAGTTCTCCTGGATAATATCCTGAAGAGTGTTTTCCAACTTGGTTCCATTCCCCCATCACTTTCAGGTACACCAATCAAATGTAGATTTGGTCTTTTCACATAGTCCTATATTTCTTAGAGGCTTTGTTCCTTTTTATTCTTTTTTCTCTAATCTTGTCTTCTCACTTTATTTCATCAAGTTGATTTTCAATCTCTGATATCCTTTCTTCCACTTGATTGATTTGGCTATTGATACTTGTGTATGCTTCACGAAGTTCTCCTGGTGTGTTTTTCAGCTCCATCAGGTCATTTATGTTTTTCTCTAAACTGTTTATTCTAGTTAGCAATCCGCCTAACGTTTTTTCGAGGTTTTTAGCTTCCTTGCATTGGGATAGAACATGTTCCTTTAGTTCGGGGGAATTTGTGATTACCCACCTTCTGAAGCCTACTTCTGTCAATTTGTCAAACTCATTCTCCACCCAGTTTTGTGCCCTTGCTGGCGAGGCATTGTGATCTTTTGAAGGGGAAGACCCATTGTGGTTTTTGGAATTTTCAGCCTTTTTGAACTGGTTTCTTACCATCTTTGTGGATTTATCTACCTTTGGTCTTTGATGTTGGTAGCTTTCAGATGGGGATCTCTGAGTGGACATGCTATTCCTTTGTATTTGTTAGTTTTCCTTCTAACAGTCAGGCCCACCTGGGTGTGGTGGCTCATACCTGTAATGCCAGCACTTTGGGAGGCCAAGGCAGGCATATCATGAGGTCAGGAGATCGAGGCCATCCTGGCTAACATGATGAAACCCCGTCTCTACTAAAAATACAAAAAATTAGCTGGACATGGTGGCGGTCGCCTGTAGTCCCAGCTACTCAGGAGGATGAAGCAGAAGAATGGCGTGAACCTGAGAGGCAGAGCTTGCAGTGAGCGGAGATTGAGCCACTGCACTCCAACCTAGGCAACAGACACTGTCTCAAAAAAAAAAAAAAAGAACAATCAGGCCCCTCTGTCACAGGTCTTCTAGAGTTTGCTGGAGGTCCACTCCAGACTCTGTTTGCCTAGGTATCACCAGTGGAGGCTGCAGAATAGCAAAGGGTTCACTAATTTTCACTGCTATAAGGAATTCCATTGTATAAATATACAACATTTATACATTTTCTTATTGTGATAGCTAATTTTTTTTTTTTTTTTTTTTTTTTGAGACAGAGTCTCCTTCTGTTGCCCAGGCTATGCAAGCTCAACTCACTGCAGCCTCCGCCTCCCAGGTTCAATTGATTCTCCTGCCTCAGCCTCCTGAGTAGCTGAGATTATAGGAGTGCATCACCATGCCCTGCTAAGTTTTTATTTTTATTTTTTGTGTTTGTTGTAGAGACGAGGTTTCACCAGTTGGCCAGGCTGTGCTCAAATTTCTGACCTCAGGTGATTGGCCTGCCTCAGCCTCCCAAAGTGCTGGGATTACAGGTGTGAGCCACCACGCCCCGCCTGTGGTAGCTAATTTTATGTGTCAAACTTGATTGGGCCAAAGGATGCCCAGATCTTTGGTCAAATATTATTCTTGGTATGTCTGTGAGGATGTTTCTAGATGATATTGATATTTTAACTGGTGGGCTGAGTGAATATGACTGCCCTCACTAATGTGGGTGGGCCTCATCTAACCAATTGAAAACCCAAATAGATCATGAAGGCTGAATAAGAGTGAACTCACTCTGCCTGACTGCTGGAGTTGATCTTTGCCTTTAGGTTCAAACTGAAAAGTTATCTCTTTTTGAGTCTCAAGCCTGCCAGCTTTTGGGCTTACACCATCAGCTCTCCTGATTCTCTGACCTTTGGAGTTGGACTACACCTAACGTTGTTGACTCGCCTGGGTCTCTAGCTTCTTGATTTTAGATTTTGGAACTTTTCTGCCTCCATACTCACAGTTACCTATGAAAAATCTCTTTATATATTTATTATGTATTTCATACCTGGCATGTGTTTAGTTACTTTTGCATTCATTTCATAAGTGAATTAGCCTATAATTTTCTTTTTACACTTTTTATATTACCTTTATCTGATTTGATATCAAAGATATATTGAACAAATAAAATAATTTAGAAAATGTACCCTTTTTCTCTTTTATGGAAGAGTTAGTCTAAGAGTAAAATTGTTTATTGACTATTTTGCAGATAATTTATGTAAAATGATCTAAGCCTAGTGTTTTCTTTTGAGAAAATGTTTCAATTTCTTTAGTCGCTTATGTCATTGACAGTTTCTATTTCTTCTAGAGTCAGTTTATTGAAGTATATTTTTTGTTGGCATATGTTCATGTTTAATTTTTCAAATTCAATGATATAAACTGGTTTATAGTTTTCTATTATTTATTTTATGTCTTGAATCAAATTATGCATTCGTATTGATTATCTTTGCTCCTTTTTAAAATAATGTCTCTGCTAATGGTTCATTAATTTTATTTGTTTTTCAAAAAGCTAGTGTTTGGATTCTTTGATCTTCTCTACTGTATCTTTTTCTTTCATGAATGTCTGCCCTTATTTAAAATTATTTCAAAGTCAAGTTATTAGATGCATAAATATTTAAAACTTGAGTAACTTCTTGGCAAAAGGACTATTATATTGTTAAATAATGACTCTCTTCATTACTAGCAAAGCTGCTACCTTCAAATTTATTTCGTTTTATGTTATAATAATAGACCTGCACATTTACTATTTTTCTATTGTCTACCTTTCAATATTTCTATGTCTTCACGTTTCAATCATATCTTTAATAAGTTTTTAAACCATAATTTGAATATCTTATTCTTTTAACTAAAGAACATATTTACATATATTTATTGTGATTATTGATATGGATTAATTGTTATCATCTTCTATGATTTTCTTTCCTATATTATTTTGGATTGAGTTATTTTCTCATGTTTTAAGAATATAGGCTAGGTCTTTATACTTTTACCTCACTCAGTCACCAGAGATGGGTTCTCCTGGGAAGGGCATGACCTTGGGTGAGGTGGCTGTCTATAACTGAGGTGCATTCTGAAGGCTGTTGGCTGGCCACACTTTCTGTAGTTGGGTAGCAGATCCTACCTTCAAGGGGAATCTGGGGAGTGTATTTCTGTGTCTACTACATTGTGAAACAAATGTGGGAGTTTTAAGATAACCCATAGAAAGTTTGTATATGTTAAAAGAGAAGAGGATTAAAGATCAGACCCCTGGCATTTGTGGGGTGACTCATGAAAAAGAATACGATATTTGAGAAGGAAAGGCCAGAAGAAAGAAGGTCCTTTTCTTGAGGTTTTATAATAAAAATGAATGTCTGAAAATGACAAAACCAACATTATAAAATGGAAACGGCATTACATTCAGCATAATTTAACTTAATCATGAATGCAGATATATAAATCATAAATGCTCTACATAATAGTTCTCTATCAACCACTAATTCTGCTTTAAGAATCAGTAAAATGCTTAACCAACTAGGCATAAATAAAATGTCTCCATTCTGGTATTTATCTCTAGTTTTATTGTCCTGAATTCATTCTCTGTATATAATTTTATTTTTTTCTACATTGTTTTGCAAAAATGGTTATTGCCTTGAATCATGGATTTTAATACTAATTAAGATATTTCTCAATATTTTAGCTGAAAAAATTGTCAAAGTTCAG